AAGCTCCTTTATAGCCCACTCCATGAGAACATGGTACTGTTTCGCACGATGTACAGCGAACTCGGAGGGTGATCAACTCTCACTCGCGTAAAAAACTTGGGGGGGCAGTCCAGTGGGTCGTACAACCCTTCGACGGCGAACCGTGCGAATTGGGTGTGACGTGCTAGCAACCACCGAACCCCTAGACACGGAGATGCCGTGAGTATCGGTACGCAATTCAGTCCTGCTATCCCCCGCCGCCTCTCTCCTTCCTCATCTTCATCCTCCTCATCTTCAATACCAACTCTAAAACCAAGCGTCAACCGTCGGCGACGCCCACGTCGCCGCGAGAACATCCTTGTTTTCTGGCAGGGAACAGAAAAAGGGAGTAGGGAACGTTGTGAAGTGAGTAGGGGAACAATGCAGCGGTGTGCGCATGGATAGGAGGGGCACCCAGAAGATAGGAGGGGTTGGAAGGGGATGGGAGGGGCTGGAAGGGGATGGGAGGCAAAGAAGGGGGGATGAGAATAAAGGTAAAGGTGGTGCGAGGCATTCAGGGGGCGACGCGACTCGAGAAAGGATGTGGGAGGCATGAAAGGGGGTTGGGAAGGCAGGTTGAGGTGGTGGGAGGCAAGAAGGTAAGGGAAGTGAATGAAGGAAAAGGTGGTGTGAGGTATGAAGAGGAGATGGGAAGGCAGGACGAAGAGGGGGCGGGAGGCCTGAAGGGGTGACTAAACGGCTGGGAGCGGTGATGAGGCATGTAGGGGGCACTAAACGGCTGGGAGCGGTGATGAGGCATGTAGGGGGGACTAAACGGCTGTGCGTGGGACGGGAGAGAAGGGAGGGAAGGGAGGGAAGGGCGGGAAGGAGGGAAGGGAGGGAAGGGAGGGACGGGAGGGTGTGGGAGGGAAGGGAGGGAAGGAGGGAAGCGAGGGACGGGGGAGAAGGGTGGGAAAGGAGAGATGGGAGAGCAGGGAGAGAAGGGAGGGGGGGGAGGGAAGGGAGGGAAGGGAGGGAAGGGAGGGAAGGAGGGAAGCGAGGGACGGGGGAGTAGGGTGGGATTGGAGAGATGCGAGAGCAGGGAGAGAAGGGAGGGAAGGGAGGGTAGGGGGGGAAGGGAGGGTAGGGGAGAGAAGGGTGGGAAGGGAGGGAAGGGAGGGAAGGGAGGGAAGGGAGGGAAGGGAGGGTAGGGGGGGAAGGGAAGGTAGGGGAGAGAAGGGAGGGGTAGGAGGGAAGGGAGGGAAAGGAGGGATGGGTGGGAAGGGAGAGAAGGGAGGAAAGGGAGGCAAGGGAGAGAAGGGAGGGAAGGGAGGGAAGGGAGGGAAGAGAGAGAAGGGAGGGAAGCGAAGGAAGGGAGGGAAGGGAGGGACGGGAGAGAAGGGAGGGAAGGGAGGGAAGGAGGGAAGCGAGGGACGGGGGAGAAGGGAGGGAAAGGAGAGATGGGAGAGCAGGGAGAGGTGGGAGGGAAGGGAGGGAAGGGAGGGTAGGGAGAGAAGGGAGGGAAGGGAGGGAAGGGAGGGAAGGGAGAGAAGGGAGGGAAGGGAGAGAAGGGAGGGAAGGGAGGGAAGGGAGGGAAGGGAGGGTAGGGGGGGGAGGGAGAAAGGGGAGAGAAGGGAGGGGTAGGAGGGAAGGGAGGGAAAGGAGGGTTGGGTGGGAAGGGAGAGAAGGGAGGGAAGGGAGGGAAGGGAGGGGAGGGAGAGAAGGGACGGAAGGGAGGGAAGGGAGGGAAGGGAGAGAAGGGAGGGAAGGGAGAGAAGGGAGGGAAGGGAGAGAAGGGAGAGAAGGGAGAGAAGGGAGGGAAGGGAGGGAAGGGAGGGGATGGAGAGAAGGGAGGGAAGGGAGGGAAGGGAGGGAAGGGAGAGAAGGGAGGGAAGGGAGAGAAGGGAGAGAAGGGAGAGAATGGAGGGAAGGGAGGGAAGGGAGGGAAGGGAGAGAAGGGAGGGAAGGGAGGGAAGGGAGGGAAGGGAGGGTAGGGGGGGAAGGGATAAAGGGGAGAGAAGGGAGGGGTAGGAGGGAAGGGAGGGAAAGGAGGGTTGGGTGGGAAGGGAGAGAAGGGAGGGAAGGGAGGGAAGGGAGGGAAGGGAGGGAAGAGAGAGAAGGGAGGGAAGCGAGGGAAGGGAGGGAAAGGAGGGACGGGAGAGAAGGGAGGGAAGGGAGTGAAGGAGGGAAGGGAGAGAAGGGAGAGAAGGGAGAGAAGGGAGGGAAGGGAGGGAAGGGAGGGGAGGGAGAGAAGGGTCGGAAGGGAGGGAAGGGAGGGAAGGGAGACAAGGGAGGGAAGGGAGAGAAGGGAGAGAAGGGAGAGAAGGGAGGGAAGGGAGGGAAGGGAGGGGAGGGAGAGAAGGGACGGAAGGGAGGGAAGGGAGGGAAGGGGTGTTGGGCGACGGAAAGGGGAATAGGGAGGCGGGAAGGGGAGTCTAGTTGCGGGTTTTGAGATGGGATTCGGGCGGCGGGAAGGCGCGTGAGTTAGGCGCGAAAGGGTGGACGGCGGGAAGGCGCATCGGGCGGCGCGAAAGGGGAGGCGGGTAGCGGGAACGGGATTACGCAGATGCGAAAGGGGATCGGATGGCGGGAACGGGCGGACGGGCGGCCCGGCTGGATACAATGGGCGGGAAAGGGGATTCAGGAGGCTAGGAAGGGGATTCGGGCGGCGGGAAAGGGGAAGTGGGCGGCGGGAACGAGAATCGGGCGACGAAAAGGGGATTAGGGTGAAGGGAACGGAAACCGAGCGGCGGGGAGGAAGAATCGGGAAGCTTGAGGGGGAATCGGGCGGCGGGATCATGGAGTCGATTGGCGCGCATCCCGATTCGGGCAGCGTGACTGGGGTTTTGTGGCGGCGGGAGGGGGAAACTGGGCGGCGGGAAGGGGGACCAGGCGACGGGATCTGGGAATCTGGCGTCGGCGAATGCTAATCGGGCCCGTGGAATGGGAATGGCTGGGGCGCCGCCATATCGCATTCTTGCTTTGGATGCGAAATGCTCCGTGTTTATGTCGCGGAAGGGAAACATTTGCTATGTCGGCGTGCGTTGTAAGCGTGATGATCGTTATAGTCGCAATGACTTCTGGAAGTTACATTTTTCCTGATGAGTAAGAAAGCTGTGGGGGTGGGGAGTGTTGTGAATGGCACACTCTTCACGTGCCACGCTACTGTACCACTCCAACCCCTTCCCCTCAAAACACCCTCGACACATTTTCCTAAGAACCCATCCAAACCACTCAACTCCTACAAAGCCTATTCCAACCACTGAAGTTACAAACTTCCTTTTCCAACTCATCCTCTCCAACTCAAGCCTATCAACCACCTATTTAAATGCTCCCAACCACCATAGCCATTCCTAATCCAACTCATCTTAAACTTCAACCAAAATTCATATTCACCTCCAAGCCCCACCATAAGGCACATGACTCTTCATGATTTTCCATGTGCTTTCCCTTCCTACTCATCAAATATTACCCAAGTCACCTACCTCCTCCAATTATTCTCCTCCCATGTGCCTCCAAGCACATGCCTCCATTTCCTAGTCATCAACCTCCACATGCCTCTAATTCATTCCTCCCTTCCTTCCTTTCCCAAGTCTCCAAAGTCGCCAACTCATCTTTCAAGGATTCATGATTACCACATCACCTCCTCTTCTAAGACACCAAAGTTTTCCTATCCTCTCCATTCATTCCTTCACAAGTCACCCAAGTTCTCTTCCAACACTGCAACGCCTACAACTCCAACTCAACAAGTGCTCAACCACCATCTCATGCTCTACTACTATTCAACTCCAACAAGCATCTCTACAATTTCTCAAGAAGGTTCTTCAATGACAACAATGTCTCTCAAGCTTCTTCATCAAGCTCCTCTCCAAGCTCATTCCAAGCTTCTCCTTCAAGCTCCTCTTCAATTACAAAGGCTCCTCACTAGCAACCAAGTTTCTATGTCTCCAAAGTTGATACTTTTAAACTACTCTCTTCCAAAGCTACCATTGATGGTTACTCTCTTTATGCATGCCTATGTATCCTTCATAGATCTATAAGGCTTGTACTATGCTCTCTTTAATACAAGTTTATGCCCATAAGGCTCTCTCTTACATAGTCTACAAAGTAGTTATCAAGTGAAGAGTAGTCTACCTCATACTTCTTAAGAGTATAAGGAAGCTACAAGCTACAAGCTCAAGGGAGGATCATCATCCAACCCAAGGCTTGAAGTCACTCCCAAGTAAAGCATACAAATTCAAGTTTTTTTTCAAGTTACTTCTACAACTATCCCTAGTAAGATTCACTCAAGTAAGTGTTTATCACCGCTCTTATTCTTTCAACGAGCTCACACTCTTCTTCTCCTCTAAGTTCTTATCTCATCAAGCATTTCATCTTACACAAGTTTCTCTTTATAGTCACGAGCTCTAAGCATCATCTTCTCTTCCATCAAGCTCATCTACATATGCCACAGTTCCACTGCTCACTCTTGTCTTATTTTAGTGTGCAATCATACTCTTTTGTCTTTATCTCAATTCTCTACAGGGAGAAGTGAGGAGGAGGTGTGTGCTTCAGTTTCCTTTTGGCTAGGTATAAACTTTTGACGGGTGAGCCAGGTGAGTGGGATTGGGAGTGACCTTGTCGCTGTGTGCGAAGTTCCGAGTCCGTGTAATTTGGTAACCACTCTGTACCTTTTATAAACTTTAGGCCTTTCCCCTGCCAAATGTATACCGCTGCTAAAACTTACCTGCGGGAGTTGGCAGGCGCCCCAGTTGAAGCGGAACAATCTGGTGCGTGGCCCAGCTGTAAATATCGTCCGCGTGCAGAATTGGCGTATTTTCGTGAAAGTTGCGACGTGCATCTGGGTGACACTGTAAGGGCTAGGGAGCAGTTGGAGCCACAAGGCGGGAAGTAGAAAGGCGCAGATCCAGATCCAGAACTTACCTAAGTACCGTACGAGCTGCAAAGCGTTGTCGAGGAGGGGGAACACGCCTAGGGAGCGAGGTGTCTGACAATCGCTGGGTGGGGCTAGGCAGAAGTTCGGGATCGAGGTTGGCGGATCCATGAATGCTCAACCTGATTATGATGAACCTTCAACCTTCAGGATTAGGTAAGTGGGGGAAGATCCCCATTAGGGTTCATAACCCTTTAGCCCCATTGGGGAGAACCCCCTTTCAGTCGTAATCCCCTTATCGAGGTATCGAGGTAGAAATATCCAATGGGGAGATTTTCCAAGGTCAAAGCCTAGCTGCCTAAGCACTTCCAAGATTTCCGAAGCTGCTTGGGCTGATTTGGTTTCGGCGCGACACGTCGAAAGTACAGTGTTCCCAACTCGGTTCATGCCTTAGTTTACTTCAAGCATACGAAACCATCGCGCTCCGTTCCTTGTCCACAAGTTGTGACGTGCTGTCGTCATCTGCGATCCACCGACTGCCCTGGCGGCTCGCCTCGCCATCATGCGACGCTACGTTAATCACACTCACGCCACCTCGGGTCGGGTGCGAGTCCCACCCGTCCGAAACTGGGATCAATAAACTCAACGAGCATGCATCCCAAGCGGATGCTCGGAGTATATGATAAGAGTATTTTCGCCAGCATACGGTCAACTCTACAATAGCACAAGGTTTTCATTTTCAGCGTGCAAGCTTTTTCTCCCTTCCTCTGCTGCTAGTACCATGGAGCGCGCGCCACCACTTCTCTTCGTCCTCCTCTGTAAGCACGTATTTGTTACCTTCAACATCCTGCTCGTGTAGGTATCAGTCAATGCGGCTCGCCGCTGCCCTCTCAGAAGCCACTGGCGCGGTTTTGTCGTTTCTGGCAGTTCGTGACACGCCTCTCGCCCCCTCGCCTCCTCAATCTCTGGCAGATCATGTCATGACGCTCCCTCATTTTTCCAATGTTGTGCGCGCTGCCTTGCCTGTCAGGTGCGGCGTTCTTCACTGCCGCCGCCGCGTCTGCCTCGATCTTCCCGCCATTCCTCGCACGCGACGGCAGTGCTTCAACCGCGTCTGCCGGCCAATTCGCCAAGAAGCAGAAAGGGAAGGTTATCGGTAAGTCCGCAACGCTACTACTTGGCTTTCCGCTGCATCGCGGTGTCCTAAGATGCGGGTACAACGAACTGCGGTCATCCAAAGTCAAGCAAATGAGTTTCATTCCGGTGGTTTTCACTCCACATGTATGTGCATGCATACGTGTCCCTTTCGAAGGATCATGGGGTAGTAGTAGATCGACATGATGTCATATCTTTCATGATCATCACCAGTAACTGGTGCCACCATCAGTGCTTCATCCCTAAGTAGTCAGGCCGCCAGGCCGATTCATTCAGTGCAGCATCGCGGAAATGGTTTGAACCTAAACCGGCCTCTAAGTGGGTTTTTTGCGGAAAAGGTGCGAAAAAAACAACAGCCTGTGTCCAAATAACCTCCTTCCACCTTCCGTGCCATGCACTTTCCTCCTATCCCTGCCATGATTCGCATTGGCAGACAAATATGTGGCCAAGTTGCATCCTCCATGGTCGGGTGGAAAAGCGATCGGCGACAAAGGTGCATCCGGGAAGATGATTCTTAAGGCGGTGATGTGCGTCTCCTCTCCTTTCCGATCCTAGTATCCGCTGCTGCTGTTGTGCGTCTTCCTTTTAACCGCTCAGGACTAGGATTCCCCCTCACTCCCCCCCCCGCCGCCCAAATTATACTTAAGTGGGTGGTTTCAGCACCCATCCCACCCGTCTTCCCATTTTGCCAACACTTCCCCCCGGGGCGGAAAAGGCGAGAGGCCAAAATCGAAGTCCGTAGGTTTTTCTAACAAAATGCACACAGAAAGTCACAGAGTGCTTCCAAAAAGTCACGAACGAAAGTCACAATTATGTCCCATGCACGCCCATCGCCCTCTGGTTTCGTTGATATCGGAGGGGCCCTCCCCGCTCTCCTCCCCTTGTCCTCCATCCCTCCTCATCCTTCCCATCCATCCCAGTGGCAATCACAACTGGCCCAACCCCCCACCCTTCCTCTCCCCCTCTCCCCTTCGCAACCATCTCCCAAAATGCCTTGTTGGCAGGTACTCGTCAACTTCATACGCTATTTTTTCCATTACCAGGGTCTTTAAGGTAGACTCTGGCGGGAAGTATCCTGCTGCATCTAACATGCGTTCCTGCACTGCCAGCGGCGTGGTTCAAGCTGGCTCTGGAAGTCCGTGGGTTAACGTCACCAAGGCTGGTCAGAAAAAACGCTACAGCTTCAAGTTGAACCAGAAATTTGACCGGGTGACTTTGGCTGAAACCCTTGAGACCATAAGGGTCCAGATGGCGTTAGGCGATTACTATGTAGTTGGGCACAACAGGAACGAAAACGCCCTGTGCGGGAAGATTAAGAAAGTGGCATAGTTGGTTGACTCACTTTGCCCACTTTTGGCATAGTTGCGCGGATGGTGCAAGTTCGGTTAGATTGCTGCAGATCACCCCGCTGGATGAGTGATGATCACATGATGAAGCCTTGAAACTTGATGACTGATAAAACAACAGATTCCGAGATTAGACCGAAACGCTGTGTTCGTAGTCAACTGATACATGTGCTTCATAGAATGCGATGCTGAAGTTGCCTAATATAATCGATGGCAGCGAGCTCCAGGATATTGTCATTACGTAATTTCTTGTCGTTCCACCTTTCACCAGTGCGTCAGCTCGTATTAATAGTTGTGCTTTGACAAACAGGTTTGCGTCCAGGAATGGATGTACCAAAGTACAAGTCAGCACAACGACGACGCTAACGAACGACGAGTATAACGCGGATGCCACAACTCATCTTGACAGGGGCCCTGAATTGGTTTACCAAAAACTACTATTCGCGAATCGCGAGTCGTGATTGGTGAAGCACCTCCTAAACTTATGTTTAGTCTGGCGGGAAGCACCTGCACAGGATGATCACGTGTTTATTTGCGACCAAGGCGTGCTTTTCAGCAGCTTCGTTCGGGACCTAGAGTCAATGGGATGGGAACCCAGCGCCCCGTCCCTGGCATCTTTCAAGGTTCCCGAAGCTGAATTGTGTCGCCGAACCTGCAAACCAAACTGCTCAACCTCGTGGATGATCAAACCTTCAACCATTAGGTAAAGTGGAAGGAGAACCCTGGAGTAATTTCACACGCCTGGCTGCGTACACCCTAATGCTCACTCAACCGCCCACTCTGAACACGTCCGCTGCCACTCCATACGCCCAGTGGTCGACATTCACAGCCAACGGTCCGCGCGTTACTAGCCCACGACAAAGCTAAGATATTCTTGACCTCGAATAGGTTAATCGAGTTCCCCAGACAAGACACGCTGGGCTACCCAGATACAGTCCCATTCTCCCCGTAGAGAGCGCAAGCTCGAAAGAGGAGCACAGATAAAGATGGGGAACGAGACTGAAATGGGCATCAAGTGTACTGAGGTAGGAGGAATATACACCGGGGAAATTTTCGAAGGTGACAGCCTAGTAGCTGCCCAAGCAATTTCGATATTTTCGAAGCTGCTTTGGCTGATTTGGTTTCGTCGCGACACGTCGAAAGTACAGTTCCCCACTCAGTTCACTTGGTTTACTTCTAGCATACGAAACCATCGCGCTCCGTCCCTCGTCCACAAAGTTGTGACGATCCGTCCTCTATGTCATCTGCGATCCACCGACTGCCGTGGCGGTTCGCCTCGCCATGCAACGCAAAGTTAATCACGTCGCCTTGCGGGTCGGGTGCTACCACCCCGTCTGAAACTCAACAAAGCATGACTCCCAGGCGATTGCTCCGAGTATATAATGATAGGAGTAAATTTGCCAGCATACAGTCATCTCTACCAGTAGCTCAAGGTTTTCATTTTCAGTGTGCAAGCTTTTCTCCCTTCCTCTGCTGCTAGTAGTACTACCATGGAGCGCGCGCCACCTCTTCTCGTCCTCCTCCTCTGTAAGCACTTAATATTACCTCTCAACTTCATTCTCAGCATAAAAAGGCCAACCCAGAACGGAGGCTAACCCTAACCCTTTACACGAGGCTCGTGTGATGATGTATCAATCAATGCGGCTCCGCCCCTGTCCTTACGGAGCATTTGCTGCTTACTGCCGTTTTTGGCGCGGCTTTGTCGTTTCTGGCAGTTCGTGTCGCGCCTCTCGCCTCCTCATTCTGGCAGATCATGCCACGACGCTCCCTCATTTTCCCAATGTCGTGCGCGCTGCCTTGCCCGTCAGGTTTGGCGTTCTTCACTGCCGCCGCCGCGTCTGCCTCAAATTTCCCGCCACTCCTCGCACGCGACGGCAGTGCTTCAGCCGCGTCTGCCGCCCAAGACGCCAAGCCCTTGGCGAAGAAAGGGAAGGTTATCGGTAAGTCCCGCAACGCTATTTGGCCTTCCGCGCGGTGTTCCGTCGTAGCAGCAGCAAGATGCGGGTGCACCTAATTGCGGTCATCCAAAGTTCAGCAAATGAGTTTCACTCCACATGTACTATGCGCATGCATGTCCCTGTTCGAAGGATCGATCGACTGTCCTATCTTTCATGATCATCACTGGTGCCATCATCAGTGCTTCAAGCTGGCACCAAGGTCGTCTTGGTGCTGCTACTAGTAGTCAGGCCGATTCATTCAGTGCTGCTGTATCTCCTTGCTACCCGTTGTCCGTCCACCTTCCGTCCCATGCGCTTTGCCTCCTATCCCTGCAATTCGCATTGGCAGACAAATACGTGGTTAAGTTGCGTCCTCCTAAGGAGAATGGAAAAGTGATCGGCGACAAGGGTGCATCCGGGAAATGTGCTACTAAGTCGGTGATGTGCGTCTCCTGTGAGATCCCATAGTATCCGCTGCTGCTGTCGTTCCTTACATCCGCTCAGGGCATTTTCTCTCCCCCCCCCTCCCTTTATTTCTCGAGTGGGTGGCTCCAGCACCCATTCCCATCCGCCTTCGCTTTCCATTCCCATTTTGCCAACACTTCCCCTCTCCCCGCTCTTCTCCCCTCCTCCATCCCTCATCCTTCCCATCCCAGTGGCAATCACAATCCCAACCCCTCATTCCTCCTTTCCCCCTCTCCCCTTCGCAACTATCTCCCCCAATGCCCTGTTGGCAGGTACTCCTCAACTTCATACGCTTACGTCTTAATTTGCAAGGTATTCAAGATTGCCTCTGGCGGAAAAAAACCTGCCTCAGCTAACATGCGAACCTGCACTAACAACGGCGGGGTTCAAGGTGAGACTCAACTTCCGTGGGTTAACATCACCCAGTCTGGTCAGAAAAAGCGCTACAGCTTCAAGTTGAAAATGGAAGTGCGTTTAAATACTTTGGCAGAAGTCCGTGCGGCGATAGCGTCTGACTTAGCCAGCGGCGAGTACTATCAGATAGGGCATAACATTAACCCGTTCGCACTGTGCGGGAAGATCGTGAAAGTGAAATAGCTGGTTGACTCACTTTGCCCAGTTTTGGTTGCCTAGCGGATGGTGCAAGTGTTTCTGAAGTAGTGCGCAATGGATGTGGATTTGTCTGGTTGGTTGAGATGCTCATGTTGCATTGTTGGAAGTGCCTGTAATTTGGGTGAATTTATTTTGCAGACAAGCATTCTATGGGTTCTACATACCATAAATGAGCAAGGTTCTGGATATGTCAACAGAACTGGTGCTTGTCATCTAGAGATTGGGTATCATGCAGACAAAAAAATGATGTATCTATGACCTAACCTAGTTGGCTTACGTTTATATGACAGTCAGTAGTATCCAGCGCCATGCATAAAAATACTTGGACAAACCTTTGGATAATGTGTTCAGGTTCGCATATAAAGGTTAGTCAAAACAACAAGACGCTAACGAATGCCAATCTGTACAGCGGATAACATCTGCACAACAAAGATGCTCATCTTGACAGGGACTTGGAACATAAGTCACAAGTCACAACTCACGACGAACCCTACGGAACCCAAAAACGACATTGGGTGTACAGAACCTGCTTCCGAGGTGTTAGGCCCGACGGCCTAAGTCCGCTAAAGAATTAGCGGGGTCGACTAAGTCGAGGATGAAACGCGGCGGAAGACTTTGGCGAAAGAACTATTGGCGAAATAGGCGAAGAAGTTACTGAGTAATTGAAGAAGAGTTGAATGAGAATTGATTGATAATGGCAAGTACAAGCAAGGTTTATATAGCATGCAAGAAACAAGGTTGGAAAGTGGAATGTGGGACCAAGAATTGGAGTGCAAGAAAAGTAGAGTGCCACATGGCACTAGAGAATCTGAGAAGATAAGGATAATGGTGACTAGGAATGTACTGTTCGGAATGAACAGTAAACACCCCTCTAACACTACCCCCCGCCCAAGGAGGCGACGTCCGCGGCGCCTGCAGACTGAAGGTACGCTTGGAGGCAAGCGTTGTCAGGAGACAGCGAGGACGAAGGAACCCAGTTGTCGTCTGCTGTGTCGTAACCACGCCAACGAACCAAGAAGTCGATGAAAGTGACACCCCCCTGGAGACGGCGACGGTGCCTGAGGATGCGCTGGATCTAGTAGTCGGGCTCGTCGGTGTCAACAGCTACCGGCAGTGGAGTGCGATCACGGCCCGAGAAGGTGGCATTGGGATCGGTGTATGGGCGAAGGAGAGACACGTGGAATGACGGGTGCATGCGGAAATGTGCGGGAAGGCGAAGGCGGTATGCGACTGGACCTAGTGCGCGCTCAATGACGAATGGACCAATGAAACGTGGACGAAGCTTGCTGTCCTGTGGCAATCGGAGGTTGCGGCTATCCAAGAGAACACGGTCGCCGACTGCGAACGACACCTCACGACGACTGCGGTTGGTGGTGCGTGCCATGCGTGCATTTGCGAGCTCAAGGTGCTTCTTCACGTGATCATGAATGAAGGTGAGATGCTGGTGGAAGTTGTCCGCACAAGGGACTGTGGGTGTGAGATCGACACGAGTGGGGACATTGGGGTGCTGACCGTAAAGTGCAAAGAACGGTGACATGCCTGTGGCGGAGTGGTGCGTGTTGTTGTAGGCGAACTCTGCCATGCTCAGCTTCTTGTCCCATGCGGCTGCGTCGTGCATCGTGATGCTGCGAAGGATCTGCTCCAAGGTCTGGTTCACACGCTCGGTCTGTCCGTCTATCTCTGGGTGGTACGCAGACGACATGGCTAAGCGAGTCCCAAACAGTGCGAAAAGCTGCTTCCAGAACTTCGAAGTGAAACGAGGGTCGCGGTCTGAGATGATGGAATCTGGAACCCCGTGCAGTCGGACTACGTTATCTACGAACAGCGTCGCGGCTTCCTCTGCTGTGACCTTGCCGTGCGTGGGGATGAAATGCGCTGCTCGAGAAAACTTATCCACTACTACGAAGATGGCGTCGTGACCCCTAACTGTGCGTGGTAAAGCCATGATGAAGTCCATGGTAACTACCTGCCAAGGGCGGTCGGGCGGTGGAATCGGCTGCAAGAGTCCTGCTTTGCGCTGGCGAGAGGACTTCGTACGCTGACACGTGTCGCACGAGCGAATGTAATCCTCTACGTCTGCTGCAAGCCCGGGCCAGTAGTACGTGCGACTAAGCGTCTTAGCCGTCTTATCTGCTCCGAAGTGCCCTGCACTAACTACGTCGTGCGCCTCTGAGAGAAGGAGCTGTCGAAGAGGGCGGTAGGCTGGAACCCAAATCCGTGTGGTACCCTTCCGTATGTAGACACTACCCTGCACCTCTGCTCCTGCGGGCGGCTGCGGTGTGAAGTCGGGATCTACTGTGTAACCGTGCTCGAAGAGTGCTGTGAGAAGTGGGTGGCCAGCAGTGACTGTGAGACTGGCGAGCTGACAACTAGGGCGAGTGAGCGGATCTGCTGGGTTGCGCACGCCTGGCTTGTACTCTATCCTGTAGTGAAAGCTCCCTTCCATGAACTCCATCCACCTAGCCTGGCGACGACTCAGCTGCGGCTGCGACTTGAGGAAACGAAGCGAACAGTGGTCCGTGCGTATAACACTATCTGCCCCCTCTAGGTAGCACCTCCACACCTTATACGCATGGATGATCGCGAGCGCCTCCTTGTCGTGTATGGGATAGTTCAACTCCGCTCCCCTAAGCTTACGCGACTCGTACGCGATCGGCTGCAACCCGCGTCCCTGGTCCTGAAGAAGCACTGCTCCTATGGCCTGATCGGAAGCGTCGGTCACTACAACGTATGGGCGAGTGGGATCAGGGTACGACAGTGTCGGTGAGGACGTGAGCGACTGCTTCATCTGCTCGAACGCCTGCTGCTGCGCTGGACCCCAAACGTACTCTACGCCCTTCCAAAGTAGGTCGGTGAGTGGACTGGCGATCGATGCGTAACCCTGAACGAAACGACGGTAGTAGTTCGCGAAACCGAGGAAGCTCTGCAACTCCTTGACTGAGGTCGGTGCTACCCAATCCTGTACTGCTGCGATCTTTTTCGGGTCAGTCCTAATCCCACTAGCGGATACGACGTGTCCTAGGAACTCGACCTCTGGAAGGAAGAACTCGCACTTCGACTGCTTAGCGTATAACTGCTCCCTCCATAAGACCTCGAAGACCTTCTGCAAGTGCTGCACGTGCTCATCTTTCGTCTTAGAGAACACTAGGATGTCGTCTAGGTAAACGACAACGAACGACCCTAGGAACTCGGAGAGGACTGTGTTCATGAGCGTCTGAAACGTCGCTGGGGCGTTGGTCAATCCGAACGGTAGAACCCTAAACTCGTACAACCCCTGCTTCGTACGAAACGCCGTCTTGTGCTGGTCCTCTGGAACTACTCGAATCTGGTGGTAACCCGAACGAAGGTCGATCTTTGAGAAGACTCTAGCGCCCTACACTGCATCGAGAAGATCCTCTACTCTCGGCACCGGGAATCTATTCTTGACGGTGGCGGCGTTTAGTGCGCGGTAATCTATGCACATCCGTAACCCTCCGTCTTTCTTGGGTGCGAAAAGTATCGGTGCGGCCCAAGGCGATCTAGATGGCTGTATGAAACCCTGTGCGAGAAAGTGCCTAAATTGCTGCGTCATCTCCTCTGTCTCCGCTGGACTCAACCTCCACTGCGGCTTCGCTACTGGCCTGCTCCCCGGCTCCAATTCTATTCGATGGTCTACTGCTCGGCTGGGAGGCAACCCTGGGGGCAACTCGTCGGGGAAGACGTCTGCGAACTCTGCTAACAGTGCACTCACCTCAGCAGGAAGAGTCGCCTTCTCACTAACTGCTGCACTCCCTCCTTTCCCCTCCTCAGCTTCCACCTCCTCAAGAAAAACCGCGAAGATCCGTGCCGCACGCTTCACTAACTGTCGCACACGAACAGCATTAATGATAGCTGTGGATGATGTGGCCCCATCGCTCCACTGTGGCAGCTCCCGGAACTCCCCGTCTACCTTGACGCTGCAGCTTCCCTGAGCCCAATCGAACTGAGTACTAACCGTCCGTAGCCAATCTCTCCCGAAGATAAAATCGTATCCGTCCAGCGTCGCAAAGTCGAAATCACGCCTGACTGTGATCGGTCCTAGCACTACGCGCAACTTGCGGATGATCGGTCCTATGTGAAGTGGCGTCCCATCTACCATGCGAGCGTCCTTGAAGTTGACTGCTGAATCTGCTTCGAGATGGAGACGAGAAACTAACGATGAAGAGACGAACGAGTGGCTAGCTCCGCTATCTACGAGAGTCTTAACAGGAACTCCGCGAAGCTTCCCTAGAAGCACGACTGGACGATCAACAGTGTCTACCTCGTTCTCCGTAGATGACTGCTGCGAAGCGGTCTCCTCTACGTTGGTAGACGTGGCGGGTACGGGAACCTCCACACCAGCTAGCGACCCGCTATCTACTGGCGGTTTCCGTTTCCCTGCTGCCGCTCCTTAAGCTGTGGGCAGTCTCGCTTCATGTGTCCCGGCTTTTTGCAGTAGTGACAGTTCCCCCTAAATCCCATTTTCTGTGAGCCGTCACTGTTAACTGCACCAATCTCCATGGGCGATGGTCCGTCCCTCGATCGAGCGTCGTTGATCGGTCTGTTGTATCCCCTATCGCGATCGTCACGACCCCGTCGGCTTCGTACTGCGTCGACGTGTTCTGCTGCTGCGACTACCGACTCGAAGGTGGACAACCCGTGAATCGCAATGACTTCCGCTATGTCCGGCTTCAACCCTTCGAGGTAGCGATCGCGCATCTCTGCTTCCGTGATATCGTCTATCTCGTTGCAGATGCTCAAGAACCGTCGTGTGTACTCCTGGACGTTGCCTATCTGTCGGAAATGACGCAGACGCTTCCTAGCAGCTTCGGAGGCGTTCACCAAATCGAACCTACTTTTCAGCGCCGCTTCAAATCCTTCCCATGTGGTCGGAACCGTGGTAACACCCAAATCTAAACTCCTTAAGCTCGAAGTTGCAGCTGCATGCCCCACGCCCTGTTGATGCCCGTCCGTCTGAGCCCTTCTTACAGTAGTTTGAGTGAGTTGGCGCCACCACTCCAAGGCCGGGCCCCTCAGCAGTGTAACAGCGTACTCGATCCGCTGCTGCGCGTCCGCCTCTTGCACCCCGCTCGCGGCGAAGTAGTTGTTCAGCATGAAGAGCCACGTCCGCACGTTCGCGTCGCGTTGACTTGGGTCGAACGACTCGGGTTTCTGCGGCTTGAGTGCGCTTCGACGTTCCGGCAGCGCTTCCGCGCCAGT